TGATTTATCTCCCTCCCGGGCTGAAACGCTCTGCACTCGAGAGCGTTTTTGCCACGGCAGCACGTTCAGGGTTCCACCTTCGGGGAATTTTAAGGGTCTGCAAAAGCCCTTCCGAGGAGTGGGAACACCCTCAAAAATGTAACACCCTCAAAAATGTAACACCCTCAAAAATGTAACACCCTCATCCTCCCTGCCTGGAGAAGGGGGAGGGGAGGGAATTTAGGGGGAACAGGGAATTTAGACAGCCCCAAATCAGCCCCCCGGGACAAGCACAAAGACACAGAGGGCTCTGCAGGATCATCTTTGTATCACCCATGACGGTGGTGGGAGGGTCCCTCCTGTGCCCTGTTTTCCTCATCTTTTTCTCCCAAATTCCCTGGTGCACACAGAGAGCTGCTCGGGGGGGGGGGGGGGGGCTGAGTGAGACCCCTTACCCCAAATTTACGTTTTTTCAGCTGTAAAATGGTGTCACCCACCTCGATAAAGGGAGAGAAGAGGGAGGGAAGGGGCACCCGCTGTGCTGGGTGGGTGAGGTGTGTGGACAATGGAGAGGGACTGAAGCTTCTCTAATCCCCCTGCTCGGCTCTGATGCTCCAAGCCAAAGGGGCTGAGCTCTCTCTTGCTCTCCAAGGCTCTTAGTGCAGGATTTGGGTGTGATTTGTGCTGTTGAGGCCCCTTGACTGTTGTTCCTGGCCAGTCCAGCCAGGCTGGGGAGCAGAGGTGAAGGGGGCAGTGAGTGGTGGGTGGGTATCATCACCTGCTGGCCCTGCTCAGCCCTGTGAAGGGCTGGAAAAGGGTCCTCTGGGATGGAGTGGGGAATGTGTTTTTTACCCAAGCTCACTGTAGTTCCCACGTCACTGCTGAGATCCGAATCCTTTGTGTCTGGCATTTATTTTGGGTCATTTAGAGCACTGAAGGAACATTCATTGAAATGTGACTTTCCGGCCCTGCCCTGTGGAGTCTGCTGTGCATCAAGGCTTGCTTTTGCAGCAGCAGATCCGTGACCTTTCTGGACGCTGGAGGAGTGGGATCAGGGCACTTGGTTGGGTTCTGGACGGTGCCAGAGCCGGATCTGTCCCCATGGCACAGCAGTGGTGGCTCGTGGGGCACAGGGACGTGACAGGAGCAGTTCCCTGTGTCAGGACAGTCCTGGTGCAGAGCCAGCACCTCGCGGGGCACATTTAAACCTTCCCACTCCTTTTCATCTCCCACGGACTTGGACATCCCCAGAAGTGATGCAACCCCCCAGCCCATTGTGAGCCCGGTGCCTCCAGCGGCTTTGCCTCGAGCCCGGGTTTAATTTCCCTAATGAAGGCGGGCGGGGGAGGCAGCGCTGAGCTGGTTGGAGAACCCCTGCCAAGAGCCATTAGCTGGGAAGTTGTAATTGCGGGGATGGAGCTGCTGGCCCTTGGCTCGGAGCTGGCTAATAAACGGCCCTCGGCATCGCGGGGCAGGGGGTGGGGAAGAGGGAACAGCGCCAGGATGGGCGTCACACCGGGGTTTGCTCCCTGCCCCGAGGATTCTTCCCCGGCCTGGCTCAGTTTTGGACACCCGGAGAGGCTGCTCAGAGGACCTGGAGTGCTGGAGTGTGTCCCTCATCCCAGACACGGGAGGAGGCTGAGCCAGATGTGGATGTGGCTTTGTGACCCCCAGACAGACATAAAATGTGGATGTGGCTTGTGTGACCCCCCAGCCCTAGACAGGCATAAAATCCATACAGTGCCCTGGAAAACCTCCCCTTGAGTCCTGCAACACTCACTGGGGCAGCAGCTCCATCCCTCCTGTAGGAAAATCCCATCCCAGGGGACTGGGGGCTGCAGGGGATGGGTCCAGCATACCCGGGGCTCCCTCCGGCTTCCCTCGGGCCCCGTGGAGCCTCCTGGGTCAGGGATAAAGTCTGGATGAAGTCTCTCTTTTGGGACAAATCCAGGCAGCTGCGGCTTTGCTGCCGTGGGGGATGTGAGGGGTGGGCAGGGGAAGCTGTGACGGATCCCGAGGGGGGCTGTGACGGATGAGGAGGCAGCCCCGGGTCGGGAGGTGGGAGCTGCCGTCCTGAGTGATTTGCGATTTCCCGGGCTGGCGAGCTCAGCATTCCCCTCCCCTTCATCCCAGCCGGGCGAGGGGGAGCAGCCCCTCGTTGCCGGGGGGAGGGAGAAGGGACCGTGACCGGCTCGGGGCAGGCGGAGCATTAACGATCTGAGCGACCGTAAATCCAAATAAACACCGACCGCTCCCGAGATTTATTGCCCGAGCCTGACCCGACACCATCCGGGCTGGGGCAGCCTGGCTGGGAGCAGAGTCACCTCAGCACCTCGGGAGGGCACTTCTTTGGGAACAGCCGCGTCCCAACCCCCCCGTCTGCACCGGGTACACCCGGAGAGGGTTCACAAGGCTTTACAAAGCCAGGCTTTGCGAAGCTTGGCTGGGGCCGTGCTTGCTGCGGTTGGGGTCCCCCCGTGCCTGCTCCTGGCAGATGAAATCCCGGGATGAAGGATGCTGGGAGGAGCAAAGGGTTGCTCAGCATCAGTAACTGCTGGCCGTGGGTTTGTATCCAGCTCCCCCAGGACACAGGAGCGGCTGGGGAGCAGCCTCGGGGATCTGGGGACAAGCGAGAGCAGGGAAGCTCTGCCATCCCACATTTCCCCTCCCCTGGGCAGCGGGAATGCTGCAGCTCCATGAGCATTGCAGCGCGGTGCTTGGTCACTGGTATTACACGCACTGAGCTGGCCAGGCAGCAGCTGGGGCTGGCCCTGGGCCACCTCCCTCCTCGGGATAAACTTCCAAGCCTCTGGAATGCACACAGGACAGCCCTGGCTGAGCAGAGCTGTGCCCTCCTGCGGGCTGACTGGGAGGGGCAGCGGGGGAGGGCCGTCCCTCACCTCGGGGGGAGCGGGTGTCGTGGCCCTGGGAGATGTTTTGTGTCTGTGAGGTTGTTCCTGCTGCTGTCAGGGGATCCCTGGGATGTGGCACAGATCCTGCTGCTGCCAGGGGATCCCTGGGATGTGGCACAGATCCTGCTGC